GATAGCGTCGGATTTTCTTGCATGGCAACGAGGACTTGAGTTTTTTCTTATTGTGATTGAACATTGCTGCTGCTACTGCTGCTGCTGCTTTACATATGTGACGTGCTTTGAAGTGATTAGTACACCGTAATAAGTCGATTTACCACCCAAGCTTGGGCATTGCCACAAGTAGCATAAACCTACAACAAGAAGACTAACCCCAGAGAAACATATACGTCAATACTAGTTTAATAAGGTAGTAAATTTGTACTCATGAACATCTTATTATACTTTTTCTCTCTCAGCCCTCGCCACACAAAGGTCTAGAAGAAAGCAAGGAGAACTCCCCATACGTAAAACAGGACTAAATAAATTAGTGACCGTGGCCATCGTCCTCCTGCCTCTCAGGGTCCAACTTGATCATGGTATCAATACGCATAATAGCGATGCAAGCCTCGACGGCACTCTTGAGCTGCTTGATCTTACCCATGCTGGGCTCCAGAACACCGGCCTTGAGGGCGTCGTGAACACGGCCCTTTGTCAGGTCGAGACCGTAGTTGCGGTACGTCTTCTTCTTGGCGATGGCCTTCTCTTCCTCGTTGGCGTCGCCGTCCTGGACGCGCTGAGAGAGAGCGTGGCGGACACGGAGCTGGGCGACGAGCTCGGAGGAGTCCTTGGCGGCGTTGACGGCCAAGGTCTTGGGGACGGTCAGGAGGGATTGGGCGAATTCGCCGATGGCGAGTTGCTCGCGGGAGCCCTGGAAGTGGAATTAGTGCTGAGCTTGAATAGGCTGAGGCTGAGGATTTTGTGGAATACGTACCACTGTGACTGCGAACTCTTCGAGGTAGATGTGAAGAGCCGTCTCGACGGCACCACCACCGGGTACGATGCTACCGCTCTCCAGAGTACGCTTGACGGCACACAGAGAGTCGTGTACGGAACGCTCCATCTCGTCCAAGCTGAAGTCGTTGGGGCCCCGCAGGATGATGGAGGCAGAGGTGTGAACCTTGGTGCCCTTGACGAGGATACACTCATCATCGGATATCCGCTCCTGGACGACTTCCTCGGCATGACCCAGGTAGGAAGCCTCGAACTTCTCGTCACCGTTGAGATCAGAGAGGGTGTTGATCAGGGTAGCGCCAGTGGCCTTGGCAATACGTCTCAGGTCTTCCTTCTTGCAACGGCGGACAGCCATGGCACCCTTCTCAACGAAGAGCTTGAGAACCATGTCGTCGATACCCTTGGTGGTGAAGACGACGTTGGCACCAGACTTGAGGATCATCTCTACACGCTCGAGAACGATGCCAGATTCTCTCTCACGAATCTTCTCCAGCTGATCGGGGTCGTCGACTGTGATCTGAACGCCAAGCTTCATTCTCTCCTTCTGCAAGTTCATGTCCAAGCAAGCAATCTTCGCGTCGGTTATCCGGGTCTTCATGGCCTGGGAAGCGACGGTGCAGTTGAGGGCATAGCCGTTGACGAGAATGGATTCGCGACCACTCTTTCCGTGAGCCTTGAGCAGGTTGACAGCCTTCACGGGGTACTTGACCTCGTTCTTCTGGTTGGTGGTCTTGACCTGTTGCATGGCATCAACGACCATGTTGGCGTAGAAATCGGCATCGGAGCCAATGATCTTGCTAGACATGGACGTCTTGGCGATGTTGACCAAGCTGTCCTTTCCAAGCGTCTCAACCTTTGTGGTGATGTTCTCGTTCATGTACTTGACAGCTTCCCTCAGGGCTAGCCTGTAACCGTTGATGATGGTTGTAGGGTGTATGCGGTTCTTCATCAGCTCGTTGGCGCGGCGGAGGAGTTCGGCAGCAATGAGAACGACGGAGGTAGTACCATCACCGACCTAGACTGATATCAGCATCGTGTGTATAGGAAGACAGGGTGTGGAGCACAAAGAGCGGGGGGTCGGACCTCCTTATCCTGTTGTTGGGCCAAATCCACGAGGATCTTTCCAGCGGGGTGCTCAATATCGAGAAGACTCAGAATCGTTGCACCGTCATTGGTAACCGTGACATCCTATAAGACCATCAGAGAGCTGCTCTATATTGAACGCGGGGTCGAAAGGTGATGCGTACACCGATATCATCCACCATCATCTTGTCCAGACCGGACGGACCGAAAGAGCTCTTGACAACATTGGCGATGGCCTGCGTAGCAAGGACTACATCGTCATCAGCATCCACCTCCTTGGACGAGAAGAATCCATCAGTTCATACCGTTCTGCTCCCGCACATCAGCGCCGGTGATTTTCTGCCCCCCCAAGACTGTGCGAGACTGGTTAGTGATAGCTGTCAGGGGAAGGGGATTGGGGGTTGGGGAGGGGACTCACAAAGGGTGTCCGCATTCCGCGGCTGCTCAAAGATGCCTGCCATGATGGTGAAACAGACGGAGATGTAGGAAATAGGGGGAAAGACAAGCTCCGACAGCCAAATGCCTGAAGCCGCTGGACGTTCGCCTCGAATGTTTGCACTAAAAGTTCTGCCGGCCCCGGGCGGTGAAGATTTGCAGATGCATCCCACTTTGACTCAACCCCTCTTCCCGCCCCAGGTCTTCCTCTTATCTTCGCCTTCCCTTCGTATCCGGTCCTCCTCTGCTGTTTGCGCGACCGTTGTCTCCCTCTCAACATGGCAAGCCAAATCCCCGCTGACGCCGCGGCCCCTGTCGAGGCCCCCGCCGCCCAGACCCTTCCTGATCGCACCCAGAACCCCGCCGATGCCGATGCTCCCCAGGGAGAGGTCTCCAAGAACGCCGCAAAGAAGGCTGCTAAGCTGGCCAAGCAGGCCGCCGACAAGGCTGAGAAGGCCGCGAACAAGGGAATTGGCAAGCAGGAGGCCAAGAAGCCCGCTGCCAAGGCTCCCAAGAAGAAGATCGAGGGCGCTGCTCTGATCGGTATCGATGTCGCCAAGGAGGAGGATTTCCCTGGTTGGTACCAGCAGGTCCTGACCAAGGGTGATATGCTTGACTACTACGATGTCTCCGGATGCTTCATTCTCAAGGTGGGTTGTCATGTTCGCCCGGGAACTCGTCGACGACCTGTACTGATTTGCGCCAGCCCGCTTCCTACTTCATCTGGGAGGAGATCCAGCAGTGGTTCAACACTTACATCAAGAAGATGGGCGTCAAGAACTGCTCTTTCCCTCTTTTCGTGTCTGAGGATGTGCTGCAGAGGGAGAAGGACCACATCGAGGGCTTTGCTGCTGAGGTCGCTTGGGTGACACACGCGTATGTTTCCTTATCTCTAGACACACCCTCATATAGACAAGTCACTGATAACCCCCTCTCTGCTACAGTGGTTCCACCCCTCTGGAGAAGAAGATCGCTATCCGTCCCACGTCTGAGACTGTCATGTACCCCTACTACGCCAAGTGGATCAGAAGTCACCGTGACTTGCCCCTCAAGCTCAACCAGTGGAACTCCGTCGTCCGTTGGGAGTTCAAGCACCCCCAGCCTTTCCTCAGAACCAGAGAGTTCCTGTGGCAGGAGGGTCACACAGCCCACCTGACCAAGGAGGGTGCTCACGAGGAGGTTATGACAATCCTCGACCTCTATGCTCGTATCTACGAGGAACTTCTGGCCGTTCCTGTTGTCAAGGGTCAGAAGACCGAGAAGGAGAAGTTCGCCGGTGGTCTCTACACCACCACCGTTGAGGGCTACATCCCCGCCACCGGTCGTGGTATCCAGGGTGGTACCTCCCACGGTCTGGGCCAGAACTTCAGTAAGATGTTCGGTATCACCGTCGAGGACCCCTCCGCCAAGAGCGACGACAAGGAGAAGGCCGCTCCTCTCCACGTGTGGCAGAACTCCTGGGGTCTGTCCACCCGTACCCTCGGTGTCATGGTCATGATCCACAGTGACAACCGCGGTCTCGTCCTCCCTCCTCGTGTCGCTGACACCCAGACCATCATCGTCCCCGTCGGTATCACCGCCAAGACCACCGATGAGGAGCGCAAGAAGCTCTACGGTGAGGTTGAGCGCCTCGTTTCCACCCTCCGCGACGCCGGCGTCCGCGCCGAGAGCGATCTGAGAGAAGGTTACTCCCCCGGCTGGAAGTTCAACGAGTGGGAACTCCGCGGTGTCCCTCTGCGTCTCGAGTTCGGTCCTGGCGAGCTTGCCGGCGGCTTCGTCACCGCTGCTCGTCGTGACGTCCCCGGAAAGGACGGCAAGGCTCCCATCCAGATCTCCGAGCTGTCTACCGCCGTGCCCGCTCTCCTGGAAACCATCCAGAAGGACCTGTACAACCGCGCCGACGCCGAGTACCGCTCCCACCGCAAGATCATCACCAACTGGGATGACTTCACCCCCGCCCTGAACGACAAGAACGTCTGCCTGATCCCCCACTGCTTGACCGAGGAGTGTGAGGACCAGATCAAGGACCTGAGTGCCCGCAAGCACGAGGAGGACTCTGGCGTTCCCCAGGATGCCCGCGCTCCTAGCATGGGTGCCAAGTCTCTCTGCATTCCCTTCGACCAGCCCGAGGGCATCGTCCCCGGCGAGACCAAGTGTACCAACCCCCACTGCACCCGCTTCGCCGAGAAGTGGTGCATGTTCGGACGTAAGTTCATGTCCAGATTCCCTACTTTGCTCACCCACAATATATCTAACATTACCAACCCAACAGGCTCGTACTAAACGCAATCTACTACTACTACCGTGTTGGATCCGGATGTTTCAATTTATTTTTTCTTCTCTAAAATTTTTTCTATCATCCAGCTTCCTTCCTTCCTATGACTGTTATGACTTTTCCATTCCTGCCAATACAGTTTCACATTGAGTTCGACATAGGGACCCTTAAAAGAAATCCACGAGCGCCTTCAGAAAAGACAAAGAACAAATAAAAAAAAGAAACAAGTGAAATTCAGGAGTTTAGATGCATACAATTGCATGGATGATGCGAGTTGGGTGGGGCAGATATGATATTCCTTGAGATACCTTTCATCGGTTTACCATCGGGGGAGTCAGATATAGGTCGTTTCAGTAGCTAGCGAGTTGAATTGAAAGAATTTGTTTTTGATATAACCTCTTTTAGTATGATTGTATTATATTATTTTCTTTTTTTCAGCTGATAGATGACAAGGACTGGCTGCCTATTTGAACTGTCGCTGATAATAAACGGAAAGAGAAAGGGAATGTGACAGAGAAAGATACAGAAGAGTGAGCGCTAGGACGCTTGATAATGAGAGATGCAGTTTAAAGAAAATATGCGGAATCCATGCCGAGAATAAGGAATGAGTGATGAAAGTGACCGAATAAGATATGAAAGCTGAATGCCGTATGCAAAGTGAAATGATTGTGGTTTGTATAGAAACGATGAGAGAGCGCGTGGGCGGAGTGTTGAGGTTCACTCGTGGGGTTGTAGGGATCGAAAAGTGTTTAGTCTGCATGTGTTTCATGAGACTATCATATCAGATGAAAGGTGGGAAGGAGCGAATTAACAATTATAGGTTTTCAAGGGAGTGGACATGATGGTGCTGTTTTCTTTTGGGAACACGACGAGGGGTATCATTGTCAAAGAGGGAGGGGTATGGGGTATCAAGAGAGTGAAGCATTAGCAAGAAAGCAGCAGTCAACGAGTCTGCACCCAGTGCGGTGACTTAGAACTGCTGTCCATTTCTGGACGAAGTTCTCGAAGGGATCCGCTCGCTGGAAAGGGCATTTTTGCTGTACGCATTGGGACTTGATTTCCGCGGCCAGTTCATGAGGCGGTAGGCGTTGCGCGGAGTCGTGTTTCTAGCCATGTAGGTGACGTTGTTCTGATCGACACCCTGGATGCAGACGTGCGGTGTCCCGCCAACGCTGGGTAGTTGGATGATTTCTTCGTCGTCGCTGTCGTCTTCTGAGTAGCTGATCTGGCTAATTCTAACTGGGGAGGCTTGTGCGCGCATGCGGAGGACTGATGGGGCACCGCTCATGTTCGTTAGGTTGCCATGAGACGAGTTGGTTCTCATGGATACAGTGCGGCCTGAGTTGCTTGGAGGTTGGCGGAACGATTGAAGTAGATCCATGTAGGTCATGTCCTCCTGAGGGCTCTCCATCTTTTGCTGCTTCGTCTCCCTGTTGCCGAGAACTCCTGGGGAGGGGAGAGGAGCATCAGTGTGCCTGCGTCGACTTGTTGTCTGTGTGGCCCGGAGAGTCGTCACGGGAACGCTCGTGGAGATGCTTCTGCGCTGCTCAGGAGTTCTCTTGTGCTTTTTGAAGGAGCTTTTGCGGATGAGTTTCGAGAATTGTCCTTCCTTTGAAGAGGAGCTCCGTTCCAAACCAGGCGCGGGGCACAATGGCACATGAGGAGCCCTGTCAAAGGATTCCTGAGACGGCGAAGGAGTGAGTGAGGGTTCAGTGGGGAAGGAAATGCGCTGAAAGGCCTCGTGAGAATTGATCTCCCTGACAATAGCATCTTGGAGACTCTCAAAGGTAGGGTGTGGTGTGACCTCTTGGGTCGAAGCAAAAGCCTGCCTGAACATGTCCATAATCTCGATGACTTTGTCGTTGGACGGAGGCATGGAGGCGATGGATGTTGGTGTTCCCACAGGGAGAGGGCTGTTCATAACCTCCGCAATGCTAGGAGCTTGCTTGGGATCGACAGCACTGGGAGTAGGCGGCTGTATCGCCCGATGTGCAATTTTCGCAGTTGGACTTCCTCGAGCTGCTAGCTTTGTGTTAATAGAAAGGTCTCGGATGTTCTTCTTGCTTCCTTGACGAGGGGATGCTGGAGTGCTCTGTGTATCCTGAAAGGATTCAGTCTCGCTCGTACTGTCACTACCAATAGATAGTGGTAGTGTTGGGCTATCAGGTAGGGGCGTATTGCTCCACTTGTCGCCTTGTTTGTGAGCAGGAGGGATGCCCAAGTATCCATTTGAACTCGAAACTGATTCTTCCCTAGGCGTATTGTTCCGTTCAGCCAGCAAGTCAGGGGCAGACCGCTGAGATCGCAGGGAGCTTCTCTGGAAGGCGCATTCCCTCGAGGAGCCAGGGCGCTCCTCAGTACGCAATTGAGGTACAGAGACCGAACTCTCCGGAGAGGTTGACCGCGCCAACCGCGTGTTTTTCCCCCGTGACTGCGGACGATCCCTAGTATTTTCCACATACCTCTGTGAGCCCTGCCGGGAACGAGGTGGTGTAGCTTGAGAGCGCGAGCTAGTACTGCGGGGAATGGAGCGACTGCTGCCTCTACTCGAGATATTCCGGTCTGCTACGTCTTCCTGATAGAGACTTGAGACCGGATGCGAGTAGGCGTTTTTGAGCGCCAGTCCTCTTAAGAAGGGAGCCATGTTCCGTTCGGCTATGTCTTCATTGTATGGTGTGATCGGCGACAAGGTGCTGCTGCTTTGGATATGATACCGGTGCGAGGAGAACAAAGCATCAAGCAGATCAACGTGCCGGGTGACCTTCCCCGGAGGGCGAGTTGATGCCCGAGATGGAGGCGCATGCGAACGAGAGGATAGGGGCCTTGACTGTAGCTGAGTGTGCGTTACTTCACACTGCTCTGCAGGCGTCTGGTCATGAGCTCCCGCGGCCATGCGCCGAGATGTCTTCATGTTGGGCAAGCCGTGATCATCGCCTCCTACACTGCCTGCCCGAGCTTCTTGGCCGTCCAAATTTGCCGGCGAAGATTTCTCCGCATGGAAGAATCGCTTGAAGGCAACCATAATGGTGTCACCAGCTGCAGCTAAACCATATGGATAGATTTGGTATGGCTGTGATGTGTGTGGCAACGCTCAAGTGCGTGCGGAGATATGTTTATGGTAACAATGCGACAAGACTTTCGGATGTTAGAATACGAGCTTCTCGAGGGATGGCGATGACGATCAGATCGGGGAAGATGAATGGAGGAAAGGAATGTAATCTAGAGCTGCTGTCATGATAACGTCTAACTCATAACGAAGTCGCTGAACGCAAGAGCACTCCGTACTCGAGAGGATGAAGGAGTGATGAGAAGGAAGAATGACGGGGAGAGGGAGAGCGAGGACGCTGAGAGAAGAGAAAAGCAGCATCGATGAACAAAGAATGGATCGTCTACGTGGGATAGCTGCCCGGTTCGCAGATCCGATAATTGTTCGTGCCTGTATCAGGGGTAGAAGTGGTCCAGGTCTCCGTAATCCATCAAGACAAGATGGGGCTGAGCCGGCGGACGGGAGGGGACCAGTGAAAAGAAATTGCAAGCTAGAAGCGCATTGCGCCGGTCACGCTCGAAGACCATGGCTCTGCGATAGTTATTTGCCCTAGTCGAATGGCGCGGTCTGAAGTGCTTATACAGATTACAGGGACCCCCCTCCTCGTGGCCATTGTGGAATCCCAGCGGCCAGTGCCCAGCACACAATCGAAGCAGCTGTGCTGACTGGCGACTGTGTAGAACGTGCAGCAGAGCAAAACCCTAACGTCCTCATACCCACTATGCATAAACCTAGAATCCCGAGTCCACCTGACAGCGAGGGCGTCGAAATTGGATCTGCACGACGTGCGGTCGAGCTAGTACCGCCATCATGCCAATATTAGCAAAAGATCCAGACCTGACGTTATTTACCAGGCACATACGGTAACCATAGGCCGGCCGACAGCAGAGTGGGTCGGGGTCGAGGAGGTACAGACTACAGAGTTCATGGGACGAGGAGTTGACGGCTTAGGGCCATGGACCAACCGACTGCGTGCACCAGTCAGAAGCCGAGTATTCGCGCGGAATGGAGCACACGAACACCTATGAAATTAGCGCGGAGAGGATGAACGTGCCCTTGCACCTATCGGGTAGTTGATCGTCCACCGACAGCGAACCACGACCCGGTCACTAAGCGGGAAGGCCTCGTTCGAGCCGAGCATCAGCATATCCCGGGCGTGTACTATGGTAAAGCCCGCCCCATTCACCGTATCGATTGACAGGGGCAGGTCATGTTAGATGCCCGACCCTGGGCCGCTATTGGAAGTCCAGCACTAACGGAGGAATGTGACAGTGCCGTTTGACACGACGACGTTGGATCCCTATTTTTGCTTTTGTGACAGGAACATTTTTTTTTAAAATTAGCTGTTCCACTCTCGGTGTTCTCGTCACACATGCCCCTCTTTTGATTGATTTTTTGTTTATCGCTGGAGGAAAGTGGAAGCCGCAGGGGGCTCACCACGAGCAAGCTGGGAAGTTTAAATGACTATGAACCATGCATCGGAGATGGAACCATCCTCTTAGATTGAGGGGAATGGAGCAAGATCGCGCATCTCAGGGGCTGAAACGCCGAAGCGCGATAGCTCCATGCTTGCTTGGGAAATCAAAAGATGCGATCATGGCGGAAAAGACTGGAGACTGGGTGGGATAGGATAGGATGGAGACTCTTGGAGATGGAGAACATGAGTGAGTGTTGACAAGGAAGAGAGACCATTCCAAGGCCGAACAAGACAAACGCCGCAAAAACAGGTCAGGGGACTGGAGCCAATCACGGGTGACACACGCCGGATGAGACCTTTCCTCGCTGGGAATTATCCCCGGCGGCCGGGAGTTGATGCTGCCAACTGCTTCCCGATGAACTTTTATGCTTAGTTATATGTCTACGGAGGAGATTCAGAAGTATCCAATTCTTATGGCTATCGTGAACTGAACTGAAACCTCGTTCAATAGTGGAAAAACTGATCCATGGACCATATAGTCATCCATGTACTCCTTCTTCTCGGAGCTGGGATATGAAAGTATACCCGCATAGTAATAAACAAGGTATCCATAATCGACATTGTCAGTCTCCCCTACACATGTACTCACACCTCTCAAATCTCATCTACTGCATGCCCTGCATATCCATAACTCATCTTTTACCTCCGACAGCTCCACTCAGCCTTAGATTAGTTCCAAACGGAGATATGATTCCAACTAGACTAGACGGGGGCAGACGCGCAAGAAAATCCAACCTATCTAGACCGTACCTAATATCGAGAACAAAAAAACAACAAAAAAAAAAAAAAGTGGCCCTTACAATTGCGCCTAAATGATGCTTAAACCGGACCACTAACCTACTAGAGTTGTCGGCTCCGATCACACAAATGTGATTGATGGACGCTAACGCACTGGGATTGATTATCATCCACGCTTCACTTCTGCCCCTCAATCGATCGACTAATTTAGTACAAGGGCCCTGTTCCTGGTGGCGGTGATTGTGTGGTTTGTACCAAAGCATAACCACAAGATCGTATGATCATAGAATGCTCTGTTATATGTACGTGCTTCAAGGTTGTGGGGGGAAGACAATCAGCATTGTAAATTGCATTGTGAGATTGCGTTAATCTGCATGTGGCGTACTATTTCATGCATTATATAGTCTTCCTTCAAGCTAGGTAGTACGTAGTTGGAATCCATGCTGTGCATGCCTATAACTAAGCTTACTATATCTGGCCTCCGCTCTGCATACACACAGTCCAGTGGAGAACTCGAAATACTACGAACCCGAACGGCACACTTTCTTTACTAACTACTAATTACTTACTAATATGATGATATCAATATAACTAGCTATCTTAAGTAATTTCTCTCTGACAATTGCCCACAGCACGGTGATTGCTAAGGAATATACTATACCATACTGCCGGTTTTCATTCAACTCATGTTGCAGGACAACTATAGCAACTTCTAGATATCACGATCATACTGTGGAGGATTTTTTTTGGTGTGAAAGACAGTAGTCCTAACAACACAAACTCGAAGGCCCTCAGACAATGGCACGTACTAGTAATGCCTCTTAGCTTACCACGATCGTGGCCTACGCTCCCCGTTTAGAATTAGAAAACCGACATATGACGAGAAATCCTTCATTCAACCAAGGGCACTTGGAAACCAGTCCCATCTCAGCAATAACCGAGAAAGGCCCGAGATATAATATATACAAACGCCCAAACGCCCGATTTCCGTCCAGATTCAGTTAACCTACTAACTCCCCAAGCAAGGAAAAAAACAAGAAACAGAAAAACGAAAAAAGAAGCCGGTCACATCTCCGCAAACTAAAATTCAAAACCGACTCTCTGAGCTCCCATGTGGTGAGCAAGCAAGCAATGAACACCGATTCCTCACTCCTCCTTCTTAGCCTTCTTCGCGGCCGGCATCAGACCCTGAGAGCTGGGGGAACGCGTAACAGGAGCGTAGATGGGCATGAAGCGGAAGCTGTTATCGATGATGGTCGAGGCTTCGGAGTCATCATCAACCTCATCCGCCATCTTGCGCTTGGGGGATGCCGGGTTAAGGAGACTGGCGATGCTGACGACTCCAGTAGAGTGTTCGATGGTGGGGCTGGTAGGCTCAACACTGCTTTCTTTGTCGGTAGCAGTGATCATATCCAAACCATGCTTCTTGGTCGGGGTGGTGGCGGAACCGATGCTGAGATCATATTTGCCATCCTTGATGACGGCATCAAGGTTCTTCTTCAGACGGTGGTAACGCATGCGCGCGGCCCCATTGTTGAGGTTGGTGGCCTCGCTGAGAGCCTTCCAGTCGACCTGGTGGGCATGTTAGTATGTGAGGGAAGATGAGCACCAAGTGGAAGGGAGACTTACAACTCTGAAGTCAGAATACAGGAGGCACATGTATAGGAACACGATGGTGTCGTTGGGATTAGGCTTAGTCATTTTTACGGTGGATGAAGAGCAGTTGAGGATGAGGTATCAGGGTGTTGTGTAGAGAGACAAGGTGATATGACTTGACTTGACGAACACCTTGTTTGGTCCGGTTGGGAGGGCTGTAGAAGAAGGTGGTTGAGAGAGAGAGAGAAGAGAGGGAAAGGAGGCAGAATTTATAGAAGATGTAGAAGACCACAAGATGAAGAGATGAAGAGACGTGATTCCCTTGTTAACTGATTCACCAAGCAATGACATCGTCGCCGCGGAATAGCCATGGATGGCAGTTCGCAGATAGAACCGCACAGCACGAGGAAATACGAAGTTATAAGAGGTTGGTGGAAAGGGAGGCATAGTGGGAGCGCATTGTATTAGGTGCTAAAATGTGAAGGATATATGATATTGAACAACGCCACATGTGCACAAATCAGGTTCACAATTATGCCGTGTTTGCCCCAGCGGATAAACCAGCAAACCTCTCTGCAGACTCCTTCACAGCTTCTGCAAGCACTGTGTGGGCACCCCGAGCTGCATTCACTGCCCCATCAATGAGAGATTCATGGTTCAGACTCTGATCAGTAGTGCCTAATGATGCCTTAGAATGATCGCCCTTGAGCCATAATTCCGTAATTTCATCCCTAGAGGGCATGTAGGCGACGACACAGGCAGACAAAATAGACTTGTGCTCAGCTGGGTCCGTATCGAGCATCAGCTTAGGAGTGGATGTTTCACCCTCTGCTGACTCGTCGGAGACGATGGCAGCCACACCACCAGCTACAAGATCAAGGCAGTCAATTCGAGCATCAGCGATTGCCGCAGACGCAGCGGTAATGCAACCAGCCAACACATTCATCATTCCCCAAGGAGCATCATGCGAGTCCGGTGCATCGCCCCACCAGCGATCATCTTCTGCTTCCAGGATGGTAATTGTGATATCGAGGCCACTCTTGGGCCAGCGCTCAGCAACGATAACCCCCCTAAGTGCCGTCTCTAGGTGCACGCCCAGGTCCCGTTCGCTAGCATCGCGGATATGCCCTTTTCTTTGGCGGGCAGCAAACGGCGCATACTTCACGTGTGTCGTAAGGACGACGTTGGGCGAAAAGCTAGCCGAGCGCGGCAGGGGCTTAGGGCCATGAACTGTGCAGGCAAGCTTCAATGCCGAGGAAGGAGGAATCAGGGATTGGGGGTTTGAGCGTGCAGCAGCAAGTGATGCGGAGGGTTCGAATTCAAGATAGGAGGAACCAGATGCCGAAGGGATGAGACCTGTCTTCAGGACTAGAACAAAAGTACATTAGCCATAGTATCATCCAACAAGAATCGTAGTTGCCCTTACAGATCTTGCGAAGCTCATCCGGCTGCCTTTGACGTCGTGGTCTGCCGGTAGAAATGCTAGAAGCGGACTTGAGAGATGAGGCGAAAACGGCCGGCCTCGTGCCGCTAGGCGGCCCATTGATTCTTCGTCTGTCAGTCATTACACATGACTTGGCATCCTCGTACCAGCGCGACAAGCGATTGAGGAAGCGAGACAAAGATTTGAGTCAGAAACTTGGATGGCCAAGAAGAGCTGCTGTCGATGTCCAGAAGCGGTCATCTACAATTTTGAGGGATGTTTGCATGGTTTGCAAGGCGGGCAGCGCGGAATTCGGCGCTTTCTTTTTCCTCGTCCATTTTTCCTTTTCTTCGCTTCGACTCGCGCTTTTCCTTTCTCTTCTTCTCCCGCACCACACAAGCTTGATTGTTTGCGAAAAGCAGCAAGTCTTTTATGTTGAGACTTCAATTATTTCAAGTTTGCCTTCATTGGCAACTTGTTACTAACTGATATAATGTGAGTCTTGCCCACTTCTTCACTTCCTTCCTATCCTTGCTTGATGAACAAGATCCAAAAATCTTTCAGTTCTGGCGACAAACAAATGGGCCTTGAACAAACATGCATCACCATCTGATTATGCACTACAATTGCCTCGTGTTTTCTCTTCCATGTCTGGTTGAGTAGCTTTGCTGACATTGCTTCAAGATTATAGGACATTAGCTACAGCTATATCACCTCAAATCCGTCCATTGTAAACTAATTGGTATGCCACCCTCTTTTCCCCTCCCACACCCCTCCAGGCCTCAACCCTGGACCATCATCCAATGATGAGAAACATTTTTTTCAGTTCTGCTTCTGCAAAAACCTTGAAGAAAACAAAATACCTTACCAAAAACTCCTGATCCATTTGGACAAACATCACTACTTGTTCCACTCATTGCTTTCAGTCAACAATCTTACTGACAGCTCTCAAGACTTCTCTAGGGAATTGTAAAATCATAAGTGCCATTGGCACACGCCGAGCTACATAATCCTGGACTCATCAGAAGAGGTATGCTTATAACTTTCGATTACACACAAACCATAAACACAACAAACCCACACGTCGATGATGACAACAAGTCAATCCATTCAATGATCTCCTTCTTGGAGAACCGCCCCTCGGGCCTGCATCATCCAACAATGTCATGCATATGACTTCAACGATCTACTTTTCCATCTCCCTTATACTGGACCTTACGCTCGCTATCTTCCCTCGGGAAGATGTGCAGGCGTTCAAGGGAGGAAGGTTGTGGAGTCCTGGAGAGGTAGGCTATATCGTTGTTGTCCGCATTGTCGGCGTTGGTATGTTTGTTGTGCCTGACTTGTGTCAGGGCCTTTTTCCCGCCTCGTCGTTCGTTTTGGACGGCTTGACGGGGGATCGGAACTGGCAGGGGAAGGGATGAATTACCCGGCTTGGCTGATCCTTCCATATACTCTATTCTTCTTGGAATAGAGTCCATGCCCTATATCTCAGAACCACATTCTTGAGTGGATCGTGAGCTGACTTTCTCGTCTGCCTGCAGACTTTCTCTCGTCTTGTCCGCCTTATTATAGCTAGTAAAAACAATGATATCTTCTCATCTTGATACCAATACTTGTCTTCCATATAATCACTCCACCTACAAATTTAGTACCCGTAAAGCCAAAGTAAAAGTAATAGTGAAGTGGAACGGCCATGTGTATGGTGAAGTTTTATTTACACTTGTTTATCATTTGTAATCCCATCTCAGACTTTCTGCAGCACCCATGCAACTACACAACTAGTCTCACACTCCTGTAATACATCTGCCGACGGAGTCTCGATCCGCAGCAGAGAAATTGGGATAAATAAGTAGGCAAGGTCGCAACAGCGTACTATTCATCAACCCGCGAGTCACTAATAATTCTCCTCACTCCTCATCCTTCTCATGCGCCTCAGTGGGCGTTGTAGCACCATCTCTGGTCATGCTATAAGGAGCCTATTATAAACATGACCTATTAGCCCTGTATTGAAGAAACGAAAAAGGACTGGTTTGTGGAAGGACAAATACTCACCAAGACCCGCTTCGCATTACAGATCCTCCACGCGAGGTTCCGAACAGTCCCATCAGCTCGGACTACTTCAGGGGCGAATTCGATACCGAACCTAGGTAATATATAGATTAGCATACAAGCATTCGACCACGAAAGCCAGCAATGTTGTAAGAGGACTCACATCTGATGTACAGCAAAGACGACTCTCTTAGCGAACTTGCCGTCACGCTCTACAAGGCTACCAAACTGCTCTTCCACAGTTTCGGGAGCAATTTCCGGGTCTCGGTCGAAGCAGTTGCGGACAACAGGGAGGAGGCTCTTTTCAACGGACGCCTGGTTATCTTCGAAGGACTCTTCATCGAAGCGCCGGATGCGGATCTCGAAGGGTCGAGAGATCGCCATGACATTGTGTTTGCCATTGTGGTGATAACGGAACTCGAAGACACCTTGAGTCCAGAAGAGTTTGTCGCCTGAGAAGATGACTTCGCCGGTGGCGACGTCGCGATGCTCACTGTTTTGGGTGACAATGTCGCTAGTTACGATGCCCTTCTCGCAGGTGAGGTTGTCGTAGAAACCCTCGTTTGTGGCGACCCATCTTCCTTGAGAAGAGACGCGAGAGACTTCACGCGAGGTATTGTCCGTGACTCGGTACAAGCTGATCCAGTCCTTCTTGCCGTGATTCAGAGGAGCGGTCCATTTGACTTTGATCGGGGAGCCGTATTCGAAGACCAGGTTCTTCAAGTCGCCTCGTCTGTCGAGGGGCACGCGAGCATTGGCACCTTCTCTACCAGTACTCTTATCGCACTCCTCGAGAGAGGATGAATCCGTGCCTTCGACTTCCAGGGCATAGTCCCGGGAGTCCAAGCCAGCGAGGTCCTCATCAATGCGGGAGATGGTCACACGTGCGGGATATGTCTGGAATAGCGCAGTAGTGTCCTTGACGAAAGTATTGACGCCGGCAGCTAGTTTAGGGCGAGCGGTGTCGATCAGATCCTCGATAAACTCGAAGGAATCATCGAAGATCTTGTCCACGCTTCCATGAAGCTGACGAAGAGTGGGGGGCAGGGTCCGCTTCAGGCTCTTGACCAGCCCCGCATCCTGTCGCAGGCTTCGGCCATACAGCTTCTGCATGTGCGGGCGCTCCACGAATTGGATGAAAGCCATACTTAGAATGTGGCTCAAGAGGGCCAGGAATGTAATCGCGCCACTACTTGTGATCAAGACAGCGCCCCAGACGCCGGCCAGACCGAGCACCCGTTCAGGATTGTTCAGGAAGCGATAAATACCGTTATACGTTAACTTATGGGCCCCTTCGAAGAAAAAGTCCCCATAGAACCAGCCAAACTCCCCGAGAGACTCGTAGATGCTGGCAGAGGTCCAGATTTGCAAGCTAATGAGCCCGGCGCCCAGAACATGACGGAGCAAGACCAGACCGTAGCCCCAGTCAGCGGGCAGCGTGTACATTTTCCATACGGCAGCAATGAAACTAGCATAGCACATAATCATACTCAGATGATAAGTGCCTTTCCACTGGTTCCAGGCCTCATTAGGTGATTCACCATACTTAAGAAAATGACGGGTCCACGCTTTACAGTCGGATTGCTCGGTCAAAAGGTATCCGATGCCCACCGAAAACACCAGTCTCCATACCGCGGCATTGGCCACGAAGAGAAATTGGTATCGGGGCGTTGAGGGCGTCAGAACGGTCAGTGCAAATACGAGTAGCTGGATCAGGATTGATGATGTATCCGTTATCCGATACAGATCCAAGTTGTTGAAACCCAGGAGATTGTGAACTGAAGGAGGTGGGCCGCTTGGGGATGTTGTCGCTTGGGGCAGTGGCTCATCGGTTGACGCTGAGGCAACGGAAGGCTCAGTGGCCTGAGATGATGTAGATACAGAGTCTTGTTCGGTCATACGCTTCCGCGGTGGAGGAGGGTTGTACGTCTTGTCGATGTGCGGGTTTTCGACAAACACCAAAAAGGCGAATTGAGCTGCATGGGCGATTATGGAGATGAAAAGTACTTTGTAGCTGGCCGCCATCAATGAGATACCGTAGTACCCGGCGTATCCGACCGAATACATGGGGTGAGGGGCCATTTCGAAGACGCCATCGAACGTCAACTCTTGGTCGATGAGGTAGAAGAAGTCTCCCCAGTACCAAGCATAGTCTTTAACCACGCGGTGTGCGTCTAGTTTGACCCAAAGGTTGAACAGGACGAGCACAATGCCGGCCGACCAACGCGAGACTGTCATCAACATGCTCTCACCCACAGGATGGTGGCTACATGCTATAGCAAAGAGACAATATGACGTGAAGTCGCACATCAAGATCAAGTCCACCAAGCGTCTAAAGACAAGCCAAGTGTTGTACTCAATCGGAGCTTCTTCAAAGGAATAGTCTGTAGGGATCTTAGTCTCCAATTCCCGCTTGAGCAAGTTATACACGTTAGGGTGCGGATTCTGGTTAGTAGAGGGGTTCACAAAGATCTTTGTTTTTTCTGCCCAGCGCACAAGGGTCTTGTGGTGGGACTGGTTATGCAAAAGCCATCCTATTCCGGCATTGTAAGCTGCACGCCAGAAGAGGTAGATGACCGCAAACACAGGTATTTTGGCAAAGTCCGGGAGCCACCACAATAGAAGGATGTGTGCACCCAGTATAGCCAGAACTATCACATCGGACAAATTCTTAGGTTCCGAAGGCGACAGGAGTTGAGAGACCATGTCGTGGGTTTGGGGCACCGTGAACACTAAGAAGCAATGAGGTAAATTAGCCGCCAACTTCCGCCACTATAACGTAGAAGTCCGCCATCATTTTATGATTACAGAATCTCTGAGTCCAACCAGGCTCAAACACATAACTCAATGGAATGCCTACCTGTACCATCAGGGGTCCTGCCAAAAGTTTTCTTATTCTGGCTTGTACCATCCTTGGCTTCGACCTCACCGGCAGCAGTGAGTGCACCAGCGCCCAGGGATGAGTCGGACTGAGAGGCCTGAAACCTCTCGCGAAGTCCATCATCCCCGATATGAGTGCCTGTTGAGAGGCCTCGATCCATGATTGTTTACCGAGAAGTGGTTAAGGGTAAGGAATGAAAAAAAGCGCACAGTCGAGAGAAAAGCATGTGACAGAGGTGCTGGGGGCAGGCCGTATTTAAAGCGTCAGGGTAACTATGATTGGTCCGTGCTTCTCAATTCTGAGTCACCAAGCCGCATTGGGGAATCCCTCGAGAGTCGCTGGGAATGGTGTCCAAGAGGTGAAGCGTAAACAGCACACAACCAAGGTCTAAATGCTTAATGGTTGAGTGTAACCAGCAAAGGGGAAAGCCAGAGGTCTGTCCACGTATTTATTCTGGCAAAGCGTTGGGGTTAGGACTAGCGAGCAATATGAGACAGCAGCGACATCTCCTCCCCAAGTGCCCACTTTTGTCGGTTAGCACTGCTTAAGTGTGGGCCCCCGTGCACTGCCTGGGGAAAGACCCGAACTCACAAGCAGTCCTACTGACGCCAGTTATGACGCTTGCCCGGCACGCTTTCTTGGGAAGAATGGGCTGGAATGGAAGAGAAGTAATGGATCTCAACATCCCAGGGTCCCGACGGCCTGCCCACTTTTACCCACCGCAAATTGGATCGCTGCGCACTACCAGATTCTGGTCCTTGGTTCACGATTCGGAATAAAGGGTAGTAAACCTCTCTCTCACACCAGATATCGTCGATCACAAACATATGCGGACCACCGCATCATTCCAGTCTGCACCTGCTGGCTGCTGGCCCGTTAATGATGCAGCCACATCCTAGAAACTGGCTTTCGGGAAGCAGCTCCCCTCCCTCGCTCCAGACATTCCGGACCATCTCATGCACACTTTGATATTGGACATAGATTTCTAATGGCGGCAACTGCGCCTGCTCATTGATCACGGACCCATTGGATATTGAATCAATTGATTCTTTCCATCAATAGAATATCATGAATACCCAGGATGGTGTGTACCTTGATTGAAACCAAGGTCGATGCAACTAAATCTGTACCTGGTGGCGCATGCGGACAATGAGCACTCCCTATGGCCAACGCACTCATTCCGAACGACATTGGCTCCCACGAGAGATGCATCTCTTCCCCTCATCTTTAGAAAAGTCGTGCAGTACTGCCGTCTTCTGACTATCCCAGGATAGAAACTGATTGACGGGACTACGCGAGGTGTTAATCTTCCTTTCAACGCACATATGGTGACATTTCTGGCTCGCATAGAAAGTTACCCGCTTTGTAGCAGAATACTAGTATTGCGGGTGTATTTTTATACTGTCCTACCCAACTATGCATGCTTCATGTGGGCAATGTAATTTTGGGGATGCTCTTACCCATATGTGAGAACCTGGTCCTGGATCAATAGGGATAATATTATATCATTGCGCAACCGGGTTGTGGGCATTGTTGAACCTCGTTAAAGTTCTGACAATGCATTGAATTTTCCGCGTTACCCCTCCCAACATCAGATTGAAACCAGGCTGCCCCTCTCGTGTCGGGCCTGTCTGGTTGGCATCCCTTCTGACTGCGAGTCGGCGAACTTGCCATAATGATATTAGGGATAGTAAAGACAGCGTCTGTCTGGTATCTAAATAGTATGGGTCAACGTTATTTGCCAATTTCGACGAGCATAGTGATGTTCATAGTCTAATGCATATACAATGACCCCCCTCTATACTGCAGATAGTGTCTGTCTCACTAGAAATAGCAGTATGGGAGCGTGTCGCTTCGAGTCGAAAGGATGATTGGAAGCATAGCATTCATGCTCACTAGGATCAATGTATTAACCCAAGAAGAGCTTTCAAATATTTAACGATGCGATAGGATAATTTATCCATACACAGCTTAGATCTAAGATTATGCAAAGAGCTTGTTTGCTTTGAGATTTGTTCCTGGCATGGGTACTAGCAAGCAATGGATCTTATCGCCGCTCTCTCCGACACCGCTGCGATCGAAACGAACCCCGCGCCAATCGCCACTGCAGCGTTTGTCATGTGTTGCTTATCAAGCATCCCGCCCGCGGTCACGCCGCCACTTTTCTTGTCAGACTGCATTCAGCTTTTGTCACACACAATAACATCTTTTTGGGGGACTGATTGTTCAGTATCTGCCGTGCTCTCACTGAATAGCAGACCAAAAGAGTATATTTCAGAGATTGAAATTCCAGATGGCACCTTCTCTCGAGGAGCCGACCGCGGCCTATCTCGAGGCGCGGTCGAAGATGGCCCCGAATCTGGTGGCTCCCGAGCCAGGTATGTTTGATATGAAGCAGGCATATTTGTCTAGCATATGATCAGTATACTAATATTTGAGAAGAGCATTGCCCTGGACCCGAGTCTGAACAAGCAGGCAAAGGCGATGCCTGTGCGGGGTGTCCCAATCAATCGATCTGCGCATCTGCGCCCAAAGGCCCCGACCCCGATATTCCCATCATCACCGAGCGACTTTCGCAAATACGTCACAAAATTCTCGTACTCTCTGGCAAAGGCGGCGTTGGAAAATCTACATTCACCTCTTTACTCTCACACGCATTCGCCGCAAACCCCGAATCGACCGTGGGTGTAATGGATACAGATATCTGTGGGCCGTCGATACCAAAAATGATGGGCGTCGAGGCGGAGACCATCCACGTGAGCAATGCAGGCTGGAGTCCGGTGTGGGTGACGGACAATTTAGCCGCGATGAGCGTGCAGTTCATGCTGCCCAATCGTGATGATGCGGTGATTTGGAGAGGGCCGAAGAAGAACGGACTCATTAAACAATTCTTGAAGGACGTGGATTGGGGTGAGATGGATTACTTGGTCATCGACACACCTCCAGGGACATCGGACGAGCATCTGTCCGTCAACTCTCTTCTTAAGGAGTCTGGTGTGGATGGCGCAGTAGTTGTCACTACCCCGCAGGAGGTCTCGTTGCTCGACGTCAGGAAGGAAATTGACTTTTGCCGCAAGGCAGGCATCCGCATCCTGGGGCTAGTCGAGAACATGTCTGGCTTTGTGTGCGGGTCGTGCAACACTAAGACCCAGATCTTCCGGGCTACCACCGGGGGCGGAAAGCGACTCGCCAAGAAGATGGGCATTCCTTTCCTAGGCGCTGTGCCTCTTGACCCGCGGGTGGGAATGGCATGTGATTATGGCGAGAGCTTCGTTGATCATTATCCCGACAGTCCAGCATCGATTGCGATCAAGCAAGTTGTCCGCTCGGTTGCTGGGATGATTGGAGAGGATCCCAACGTCGTTTTGCCGGAAGATGTGGCGGAGTGATTCTTATCATTTATATGATGTTTGATCTGATTTCACGGGCGTTCAGCATTGGGATAGCAAGCCGAGGTCTTTTCATTTGTGGGTGTTTCGGGCATTTTTGACCAAGAAGTCATTTAGATACCAGATCTTTAAACCGTTCTTTGTTTCCCGCTCGACCTTCCCATCGCTTCTCCTTTACTATTTTTGTGCTGCCCCAAGGCACTCTTCGTAGTCTTCGCTTACACCATTGGGGGCGAGATACACCTAGCTTGGGGGCTGCGCGGGGGAGAAAGAACCCGTGTTCATGGACAGGAGTTCGTGTGTTTATTGCAATTAACTAGCAGTTAATAACCAACTACCGACTTACGTTATTAGTGCTCACTAAGCCCTAGACCAAAGGGAAGGAGTTTGCTGCTGTCGATCCTATAGATAGAAACGAGATACAAACATGAAGGGTACTATGTAACATGATAATGAAGTTCACCTATTCCATCAGTCATATTTACTTGCTAGACAGCTTGGCGACCAGAAACTGCCGGACCGCCTGCCAAGTGAAAAGAAGGGGTCTGAAAAAGGGTGCTTGGCAGATTGCAAGGTGAATCCCCGCCTAGCCATCCATCGGACCATTTCCATCTCACCGTTTGCTTGGCTCTGTTTGAGGGAGACGGAAATCCGCTGATGAAGATCCGCAACGGGGGGGTTGGCCCGAGGTTGAACATTCAGGGTGCTACTCTTGTCTTAAGTGTGATTGGATCTTGATGAGGCCTTCGATAATGCCGAGAAAGATAAGTAGCATTTCTAAACATACAGCATTATTGCTGCTACTACCTAGATGGGTTCAAGATCAGCCTTCCCCCGGAGTAGCCGATTAGATAGATGGTCTTGTGTCACGCTTTCTTTTGCATGGCAGGTTAACGGGTTAACCCAAGAAACTAGTAACCGCTGGGCAAACAGAAAGTCTATCCCCCAACTGTGTTGTTGGACATCCATTCGTCCAATTTCTTGAACTTCTCTTGGGCAATGATGAACACTACCAAAAAACTCGACTGCCTACGTACGCGGCTTCCCAGGGCTGAGTAAGAATCCTGCTGTTCAGATCGATCTACTACTGTGTACGTGTGCACAATTGCGAAATAAATGTTTAGCCACGCATGCATGACTCGTCCATTGACGTACTCGGGATTCGAGATTCTTATGTGGACTGGAGCCACGCCGATGCAGCGTACCTTGTGCACTGCTGCTGGTGCCTGAACATTAATGCCGAGTGGCTCAATGGCAGGGCAGACGGTGGGAAAAAGCCGGCGTCCCACGCTGGACTTTGTAACACGCCTAACTCAAAGTTTATCCACGGAACCGCTTTCGAGGCACGCTGGTGTTTCATGATGTTTTTCACTGGTGATTGGCCGGTGACCCCTGGCCCTGGCGGTTAGACTGTTTCACCAGGAGCCACTCAGGGACTCGCTCGCCCCCGGTCGCTGTCAAGGAAAAGAGGCCAGTCGCCTGTCAAAGGCAGGTTCCTCATGTCCCATGCGCTCTCTACTGCTGTGAACAGAAGAAAATATAGAGTTTTCTGCAGCAGCACAAGCGGAAGATCCAAGTTGAACCCACTTTCTTTCTCCTCCCACTCCCCGCCAGTGTCAGGCAAATGAAGATGGATATCCCCTGGGTTTTTGTCCCGTGAATCCAGGCTAACTGGGCCTGGATCATTCAGGATTGGTTGATGATTCCACCGCTGGGCTTTTGGGACCAGACTGGTCCAGCTAGTTGGAACAATGCCACCCCTCCAGCCTCCGTGCTGGGTGGATCAATGTAGAGTGCAAAAGTCTTGGTGTCTTGGGCGAATCAACTATAGTAGGGCCTGCTAAAAGTCGCTCGACGGTGAATAATGCCTCTCCGACCTTTTTCCTTTTCGACTTGCTGCCCTTTTATAGACTGCACTTCTTTCCCCTTTTTGTTTACATTTCTCTTCTAGTTCGTTAACCTTAGTGTTCTTTCATTTTCTGTTCCCACTGTCATTTTCTTTCTCATCTGCTGGGCTTTGTTGGGCTGAGCGCTACTACTTTCTCTCTCTCTTGGTCTGGTCTGTTCGTTGCTCCGCCAGTTGGTTCACTCAGCCTCGTAACATCACAGTATACCAGGCTAAGTCAGGACTTTGGCCCCCATACTGCTTCCCCTTTTTAAAAACTCAATCCTTCTGGAAAGGATTCTATTTCTCACTTGTCAAACTACTTAATACGTTCTTTGTTTTCGAATTGTTTTGTTCTGAAACTCGTCGGGCCCTATCCCCTCTTTTTTTTTTTTATAGTCCGCCCGTCGACATCATATCCCGAGTGAGCCACCATGCAGCTCCTCCAGTCTCTCGTTGTTGCCATTTGCTTCAGCTATGGCGTCCTCTCTTTACCCCATGGTCCGTCAAACCAGCATAAAGCACGCTCCTTCAAGGTTGAACGGGCCCGTCGTGGAACCGGTGCTCTGCATGGCCCCGCTGCTCTCCGCAAAGCATACCGGAAGTATGGAATAGCTCCCAGCAGTTTCAACATTGATCTGGCAGACTTTAAGCCCATTACCACAAGCCATGCTGCTGCTGGAAGCGAGGTTTCGGAGCCTGATCAGACTGGCGCTGTCAGTGCTACTTCGGTTGAGAGCGATGCCGAGTTCGTTTCGCCTGTGCTCATCGGCGGCCAGAAGGTCGTCATGACCTTTGACACTGGTTCTTCTGACTTGTAAGTCTTACTGCAGCTGTCTACTTTTGGAACGATGATTGACGTCAAGATACAGTTGGGTGCTTGATACGAATCTCAACGAAACCTTGACGGGACACACAGAGTACAACCCTTCAAACTCCTCGACCTTCAAGAAGATGGACGGATACACCTTCGATGTCTCGTATGGTGACGACTCGTACGCCTCTGGACCTGTCGGAACGGATACCGTCAACATTGGTGGCGCCGTTGTCGACGAGCAAGCCTTCGGTGTCCCCAACAAGGTATCCCAGTCATTCATCGACGACACAAACTCCAACGGCCTGGTCGGCTTGGGCTTTTCCTCCATTAACACCATCAAGCCGGAGGCGCAAAAGACGTTCTTCGCCAATGTCGCATCCAGTCTGGACGAGCCCGTCATGACCGCCTCGCTCAAGTCCGACGGAGTGGGCGAGTACGAGTTTGGCACGATCGACAAGACCAAGTACCAGGGCAACATTGCCAACGTCAGCGTGGACTCATCGAACGGATACTGGCAGTTCTCCACTCCTAAGTTTTCCGTGGCAGACGGAGAGCTGAAGGACATTGGAAACGTGAACACCTCGATCGCGGACACCGGTACCTCCCTCATGCTGTTGGACGACGACGTGGTTACTGCCTACTATGCGCAAGTTCCCAACTCGGTCTACGTGGGCAGTGCCGGTGGTTACATCTACCCCTGCAACACCACTCTCCCCAGCTTCTCCCTGGTTCTCGGCGAGTCGAGCCTGGCCACGATCCCCGGCAACCTGATCAACTTCTCCAAGGTTGGCACCAACACCACCACCGGACAGGCCTGTAAGTTCCCCTCACTGAATATAGTTGATTGAACATGATTGACTGATTTCGCTGGTTAGTGTGCTTTGGCGGCATTCAATCCAACGGCAAGACCTCGCTACAGATTCTGGGCGACACGTTCCTGAAGGCCTTCTTTGTCGTCTTTGACATGCGTGGACCCTCTCTTGGTGTTGCCTCCCCCAAGAACTAGTTTCCTTTTCTGTACTTCTCCCGCGTGTAATAATATCGGTTGAGATTTGGACTGTATCCTACGTGGGCAGATGGATGGACAGTTACTCACGTGCATTGCTTTGCCTTGGGTCTGTGAGTCAAGGCGGGAGTCGCGGGGCTGTAGTTACAATTCATGTTACATATTGAAGCAAGATTAATATGCCATATCGGCAAGAGAAAATAGAGCCATGCTGAAATAGCTGTTCAAACGAGGTAGAGAGTGTTTGTTGCAGATAATTATAACTATTTCGTAGATCAGAAGCACCTGCAGTGCTGAGTAAGCCAACAGCCCTAAACGGTTTTGGGCGATCAGTCCGGAAAGGGAGAAGGGGGAAAAAGGAAAGAAGAAAAAAAAAAATATTGACCTTGAATGCAGAGTCCGAGTGCTTCTCAATTGGTCGCTAGCATTATCACTCAACTTGTAAAGAAGAATCATCTAATCTAAATCCCTTAATTCACCCAATAAACAAGATCCCTCTCAGTCAGGGATCTTGTGTTAGCAGCGACCAAGGTGACGCTCCTCAGGCCAACGGGGGCACTTCTGCGGGTCGCCAGCAGAAGAACCCCGCGGTTCGCTCGACCGCTGAATCACCGTGACTGCGTAGGATTCAATCCTGCCCCTCCTCTCTCGTTCACCACCTCGTCGTCCCTCCTCCTCTTCCTCCAGCCTGCCGGTCGCCCATTCGCAAAAATGGCCATCAACTCTGCCCCCGAGTCCTCCCTCCTGTCCCTCCTCTACCGCTCCTACCCTACCGCCATCTCCCCCGACGCCACGGAGCCCGACCTTCACACGGCCACCCCCAAAATCTTCCCGCAGACTAGCTTTTCCGTCGCCGAAGAGGCCGACGTCAAGCAATGGCTGGCCACCATCTCCGGTCTGCAGACCGCTCTCAGCAAGGATGACAAGCCCGTCGTCTCGACCATCCTCGCCCAGCTGAACTCTCACCTCGCCACCCGCACAACCCTGCTCGGTGCGAAGCCCTCCGTGGCTGATATCGCCGTCTACGCTCTCGTCGCTCCTCTCGTCGAGAAATGGACTCCCGAGGAGCGTACCGGCGAGCAGGGCTACCACCACATCGTCCGTCACGTCGACTTCGTTCAGAACAGCCGCATTTTCGCTCTCCAGATCCCCGATGAGGAGAAGGTCACCATTGACGTGAACGACGTCCGCTTCGTGCCCAAGCCCGTCGACCCCAAGGAGGAGAAGGAGCGCAAGAAGAAGGAGAAGGCCGCTGCCCAGAAGCCCGCCGAGGCTGCTGGCAAGCCCCTCGTTGTCGGACAGGGCAAGCCCGAGGCTGCGGCCAAGGCCGACGGTGCTAAGGGTGACGCCGCTGCTGCTGCTGCTAAGCCCGAGGGCAAGCCCAAGAAGGAGAAGAAGGAAAAGAAGGAGAAGCCGGCCAAGGCTGCGCCCGCCCCTGCTGCTCCCCCGTCTCCCTCCGTCATTGACCTCCGTGTCGGTCACATTCTTCGTGCCGTCAACCACCCCAACGCCGACTCCCTCTACGTTTCCACCATCGACTGCGGTGACGCCCCGGGCACCGAGAACACCTCTCTGGATGAGGCCACCGGCAAGACTGTCCGCACTGTGTGCTCTGGTCTGAACGGTCTGATTCCCCTGGAGGAGATGCAGAACCGCAAGATCGTCGCCGTCTGCAACCTGAAGCCCGTCACCATGCGTGGCATCAAGTCCTGCGCCATGGTCTTGGCCGCCTCTCCCCGCGTGGCTGAGGGCGAGGACTCGCACGCTGGACCCGTCGAGCTCGTTTCGCCTCCTGCCGATGCCCCTGCCGGTGAGCGCGTGTGCTTCGAGGGCTGGACCGAGGGTGAGCCCGAGAAGGTTCTCAACCCTAAGAAGAAGGTCTGGGAGACCTACCAGCCTGGATTCACCACCACCGATGCCCTCGAGGTTGCCTTTGAGATGAGCGCCGTTCCGGCCGTGCAGGGCCAGGAGAACAAGCCCGCTCTGGGTAAGCTGAAGACGCAGTCCGGTGGACTTTGCACAGTCAAGACCCTGAAGGGTGCGGCTGTCCGGTAAGGGATTAATCGATTCGGAGGGGTGCAGACATAAAAAGGCAGTTTGAATTGGAAGCAAAAGAAAAAGAGGGGCTGCTCTAATCAAAAACGTAAATAGTTAGTTATGATTGATAGCGCCATTGCAAGTTAGACGAGGAAAGGGAATGAATTATTGATACATATCTCTATACCATAACCTTAATTCAACCATCGATTTAAGCTTACCCCTCACAACATTACCTGCCAAGTTTACACCCCCTCCGAGAACGTACCCAAACATCGCGGAAAACTCCCGCTACCGGAACATAATAATCATCTTACCAACCAGTCTCACAATATCCTCCTATCCTCTTCCATCTTTCTTTGCCAATATCAACCATATTTTATTACATATAGGTCATCCACAGAAACACTCTCCAACACCATACGTCATTTCCATGATAAGGATATATTTAATATTACCATGCGAGCAGTCCGATACCACGGCCGAGGCGATATCCGAGTCGAGGAGATCCAAGAACCCGGGTCGTGCGGGGTGGGTGAGGTGAAGGTTCGTCTTACTATCTTGTTCATTTCATAGCTGTTATTTGATAATTCCGTATGGGGTACTATTACTATGTTGTAATATGAGGATATCTTGTGATTGTGATGGTTCTTGTATGATCTATTACTATCACTTATAATACTGCCTTTATGATATACTACTAATATACTATAAAACTAAATAGATCCGACCTGCTTTCGTGGGTATATGTGGTAGTGGTACGAACATATCCCCTCTCCCCCTAAATCTATCTCTAATATATGCTACGAGCAGAAAGTCAAGGCCAGGCTAATACTAGACTGATTAGACATCCACGAATACCTCCACGGTCCGTCGACCATCCCGAGTACTACGCACCCTATAACGGGGGAGAAGATCCCCGTGACATTAGGTCACGAGTTCAGCGGCATCATTATAGAAGTAGGGGAGGGAGTCACTCGTCTCCATGTGGGAGATAATGTGGCTATTAAGCCGAATCTGTTTGATGGTGGGTGTGCGGCTTGTCTTGGGGGTTGGGTGAATTGTTGTGATAATTTGGGGTTTGTGGGGTTTAGTGGTATGTTCTATCCGTCTTTCTCTTTTCTTGTTATGGTGCCTGGTGTAGAGTGGTGTCTATATGAAGGGTTGGCTGATTATGTGCAGGTAGGGCTGGGGGACTGTCGGATTATGTTGTTGTCAAGGAGGATAGGGCTGTGAAGTTGCCGGACGGGTTTGAGTTGGATCTTGGGGGTGAGTTGATCGTTTCTTACAATTAAATATGTGGTAGGAGGCTGATTCTGTAGCGCTGGTTGAGCCATTGACTGTGGCATGGCATGCAGTCAGTCGGTCTTCTATTCATAATGAACATGCTCGTACGGCGCTGGTGGTGGGTGCTGGACCCATTGGGCTTGCTGTGCTTCTGGTTCTCAAGGCCCGTGGCATGGAAAACATTGTCGTTGTGGAGGTCTCGTCGCAGCGGAGGGAGCTTGCTAGTTCTTTGGGCGCTACGCGTGTTCTTGACCCCCGGGCTGACGATGTTGTGGCCACGGTGCGTGCAATGACGGGCAATGCCGGAGCTGATATAGCATTTGAATGCTCTGCTGTGCAAGCGGGACTGGATACCGCTTTGAAAGGGATCCGGGCACGGGGCACAATGACGATTCTGTCTCTCTGGAGCGACAAGCCGGCAATCGATGCATTTGACGTGGTACTGGGCGAAAAGCACGTGGTAGGGTCGGTGATATATGAAGACGGAGAATTCGAGGCCGTCATCGATGCTATGTGGTCAGGTACGTGACTGCCAGACAGCCATGCTTGACCATTCACATGTTATACCGAAGCTGACTGAACACAGGCAAACTCAACCCTCGGGCCTTAATCACCAGTAAAATCCGCATGGAAGACATCGTCGAAAAAGGCTTCAAATCCTTAATCCACGGCCGAGACAACCAGATCAAGATCTTGGTGGACATTTCGGCATGAAAGTCCGAGACATCCAGGGCGAGTGGGACGAGTATTGATCAGCTGCGGCTGGCGGTGTGTTGCACGACGTGGTCCAAATCCAGATACGTGTGTTGTTACTTGCATTTTAGCCCGTGTTATACATGACAACATCCATACCATGCACATCTTCCCTCTCACCCGAGGATTGGCGTACTTCCTGAAGGCGCAGCACAGCCAGTTTTCTTGCAATGCCGAGACCAGCAGAAGCAGACGTGTCAGCAATGCCAAGGCATTTCTTAATCCGGGCACTCCGTGTCGTAGACTGGTCCGCCCGGGGAGGGATAATACGGCGCTAGCTATTGTGTGTGTTGTAGAACGGATCCCTGTAGTGTTGTCTCTCAGTATCCATGGGAATGAGAAAGTCCTCTAGAGAGGAGGCGAGGCGAGGCGGGGGATGTACGCTACTGTACTTACCTTTGACATTCCAACACGTGTGTGGGAATGAATACGAGAGACTGAACAGGGATGGCAAGTGCATCCACGACAGCACGCTGTCCAGTCTTTCGGAACGGCTGGTGGTGCCAAGCTGTGCTATTCCCGCGCGACTCGGCCGGGGCGGGGTCGATTTCTCGTATAACCTCATCCATCCCCAAGTAGTTCGATGCAGGAGCAGCGTCCAGCGGGCAAACCCGTCCGTCAGATGTCAACTAGTTTATTCAACGAGTGAGTTGGTTGGGATGACTCCACTCCGCCTGATTCAGCGGGGATGGTTCATCCCGACGCCAGTTCGTTCTGGACACTTGGAGATGCTGGCCGGCCATGTCAGTTCGTGCTATTCCCGATGGAAAGTTAGTCGAATCGAGGTGTCATATATCCCCAATAACTATCTAGTAAGCTTAGTGTGTAGTTAGTAACAATGATCGGGATTTCGGCAATTGAAGGGGACTTCCTAGGAACTTACTGTAGTCTAGACCTCGTCGCCACTCCAACATCGCCCCCTACACAGACACACAGCATATCGCACAATTAAGGAATATTGTCCCCTATCCAGTATTCCACCTTTAATATATTAAGCTACTAGGTCGTAGTAATAGTAATGACTTACCTCCGAGATCTCCCCACCCTTCACCTCGGAGATAACGCAACTCATCCTCATCTATCTAGTATCCATTCATCACGCGCACTCAAACCCTTCATCCTTGCCTACCCTTTTTGTGTCCCTCCCTTTAGCCCCATGTCAGGATGCAAACACAAGTACAACAGATATATCCCGGTCATTGGTTACTTCTACTTAGTTCGGCTTAGCGTGTATACTAGTCTGCAGAAGGAACATGCGTTCGATCGCGCCACTTTGGGGTAAGTCGTCGGTAGTATGAGGAATCACGTCAAATGGTGCAAGGTGGTTACGCGATGGTATAAAGTAAGTACTTAAGAGGCTAGTTGTTAGTGGTATACGATGTGTCTGGATGTACGGACGGATCTAGAGAACTAAATACTTGTGGGATATGGAATGGCAGTATGATAGTGTAGTGAATTTTCTTTTATTTTTATTAGTTTTACTCCAAGAGATCTTATGGTCAGGGATAATTGGATTATCATGAGTGCTTTTGTTTTTATTTGAATCCCAACCGTGCTTGTTCAATATTTATGTTACTGTTAATAGGATAGTCGGGTTGGCGATGTGAACGTCACTCCTCATAGCTGATGAGTAGCTTTTGGACGATGACAACAGAGGTGGTACACAAGTATGTTGCATCGGAGAATAATCTATTGATTATTCATTCACACACTTAGTCCAGTTTATTATTTGATGAATTAGTTACTCAAATACTAAGATGATGAGGTGATGAGTCAAGAGAATACTCCCTCCCTTCAAGTAACCAGCAGTAACGCGAAGAAGAGTATGGAATTGGAACGATGTCTTCTACATGCATAAAGGGGCGTAACAGTGGCTGCCGTCGTCTGTATGCATGTCTCGCCTCCACTTACGCCGACCTGCCTTTTTGCCTTTCCTTCTTTCAACCTGTGCTAATTTAAGGAACAGAGAGGAAAGTGCAAGGACTGGAGAATGAATCCTAGCAAATTTTAACTCACGACTGTTACAGTTTGTTTTTGTCGGGAACAATGAGTGATGATCATGATTATTAGATGGCCTGATCATAAGTAGTAGAAGAGTAATTAGTGTAATAAGTATCTACCTGTGTTTCATCTACCTAATAATGACGATGATAATAAGTGCATAAATCCTGACATTATTACCTGGTACCCTAACTGACACCATACCCAAACTCCTCCTCCCATCTATTAATAACCACACATAAGTATCCATTAACCCAAGACTAGAGTACTACTACTACCTAACGAGCTACTAACTAACTAGTAAGTAAGTATCCATCGTCCAAGCTCCATCCATCCATCCATCATCTCCTTTTCCTTTCAGGTTTTCTCAATCCGAAGAACCCAAGTGTGTGGATCCCCCCTCCCCCCCAAATCCATCCTCACTTTCAATGGTCCTACGGAGAACAATCCTAGATTAGTACTACTTTTCTACTTTAGTTACTAGTTACCTCCCTCCCCTCCCCACCCACGGTTTCAAACTTCAGGCCTGGTTGGTTCTTGTCGCTTCTTTTTTTTCTTGCGCAGCATCTCTTATCCGCCGTGTGCCTGATTCTGGGCTCTGGCGTTCAAAACTAACTAACTAATCCATCCATTCTAAATCTAGTTACTTAGACTAACTAACTAACCCCCGATTAGCCCATCGGCTCCCGGCGCCTCGATCTTGGTCGATTTCCTTGGTTCGGGACGGGGATCGAGTGCAAGTAAACTAATTTTTTTTTTTTCTTTTCTCCTCTTGGGCCTCTTACTCGTATACGACTTTTTTCCTTTTCCTTTTCCTTTTTATTTTTTTTATTTTTCAATTTGCCCCCCTTGTGCTTTGCTGGTGGTCAGCAATTGCTGCAATTCGTTAGTCCTGGGGGTTTTATTCCATTTTGATTTGTTATTATTACTATTATTATTATCATCGTCGCTGTGTTACTGCTAATACTTCTGCTACTGTAATTTGAGGCGAAAGGCTGTCGGTGATTTCCTTGACCTACCTTACCTTACTGGAGACTGACTTGCCGAAAAGTGCCCCATCATGCTCTGATCGGGATTTATCTAATGAACCCTGTTTGCTGATCGCTTAGAGGGGAGCTA